TATATATATATATTTACATACAGTACAGTATAACACGGATAGCTCGAAATCATCGGGACTGACCTCGGTATTTCAAGGGATATCTTACAAAGATAAAGTAGAAAAAGGAAAAAAAAACTGGGATCGCACGCAGACACAGTTCGACAGATGCGTGATTTCGGGTCTTCTGTGTTCGAACAATCCGTGTTATAGTGTTATATATCAATGCATGACAACAGACTGACATTTAACAGTACTATAATATAATAATAATATGTATACCATTACGTACAAACAAAAAGCAAAAAAACAACAACAACAAAAACGGAAATAATGAGAGAGAAAGAAAAAAAAAAGAGAGAGAAAGAAGGAAGGAAATAAAGGAGAAGAAAGAGAGAAAGAGAAAGAAACAAAAAGAGTTTTAAAAAAAAGAACAAAAAGGAAGGAAAGACAGAAAGAAAGAAAGGAGGAAATGTTAAAAAAAAAGAAAGCTCGCGAGAGAGAGAGAGAGATAGGAAAAAACAAACAAACAAAACTCCCCAGCAACCAGGAACGGAAACCCCAAAGAGTGACAGAAAGAACAAAAACAGGTGAGAAAACATAGTGGAATGGTATGGGTTTCACGCCCCTTTCAACACTATTAGGTTATTTAAAACGCGGGACCTCCGAGTTTAACGTCCATCTCCGAAAGGACCGAGCCAAACGGGAACTTCCTGTAGTAAAGTGTCTTTCCCAAGGACACAACGTCGGACCGAGCTGAGGCTCGAACCCTCGAACCCTCAATCTCACGATTACGACGAGCCCGGTAACCTAACCACTAGACCACCGACGCCACACACAGGAAAGACGAAGAAAATAGGAGTCACATGACTCAATAAAACGGCGGAACGAAAAACAGAAAAGAAAAGAGAAATAGAAGAATAAAAGACAGAAAGAAGAACAAGACCAAAAGAAGAAAGCGAGGAAGGGAAATATAAGACAGAAAATTACTGGCGCCGGGGTCAAGAAAAAGATGAACAGAGAGCAAAAACAAAAGACCAGTTGATCAAAAACAAAACATCAGTTGAGCAAAACGAAAAAAACTTGGTTGTGGGTGTTTG